CTCGGTCTTGTTTTTTTTTCAGTGGCATTGACTCGTAGAAGATAAACATTATTATAAATTCTAACACGATAATATGAACTAGAATTTATAGATAAGATAGTGCCTTTTATATATACTATTTTCTTATACACTAGAATATCGAAATTGGTACTCTAACTGTATATCTACATATAAATCTGAGATGCGGATAAGAAGGAATGCAAAGGAGAAAAGAAATATGTTCGATATAGTTGAAGTAGAAATAAATATGATAATTACCCGAGGAGATATTTTTAAAATGGCATTAATCCTGACATTTTTTTAAAGAAGAAGAAACATATCAACCCTTTCATTGCTAAGATAGCGATCTTTTCTATATAGCTTACAAAAATCGATTCATCGTTACCTTCATAAAATTCGACTTTTTTAAAAGAAATTCTGATGTTATGCTGTATCAGGACACGAAGGATTATGGATGAATTATTATATTATTATATGAATTATCATTATACAAAGCAACGCATGAGAAATCTGCTAAGAAAAGGAATGGTGTGTTTCTGGAGGCGTTCTTCGGGAAACCGGTCCCACACGTGAAGAAAACTCCACGCGATTAATCCGTTGATGTGGTACGAGCCTATCACCAATTACTAGTGTTCAGTAATGTTATCGGATCCAACCAGTGGACGTGGAAATAATACTACTAAACATTGGTTGCGAGTTTGTGCCAGACCAGCGAGAGGTTTCCGGATTTTCTTCACGTGTATAACACTTGAGTATAAGCTAGTTTCACATATAATGTCCTCCCTCAAGGCATTCTTTTGGCCTCTTGACTTTGCTTGCTTTACGTTATCCAATTGATACGGCGATTTTAATGAAAAGGGTCTTTTAATGCTTTCTGTTCGCAAGAAGAGTACTGTATAATATCACTTGCATATTAAGCGATTTACACAAAAGGAGAGAAAATAAATTAGTATTTTGAAACACTTTTTATAATTAATATATGGCATAAGAAATTGATAAAATTACATTGTATAAAGTTAATAAAGAAATCAACATATACCTATCAAAATTTACAATAGATCCGGGTTTAACATTACAAAAAAAAATATTTTTATACGTTCAATTTTTCAAATTGTTATTATAATAGAGTGCAACGTACCTTTACAGCTTTAAATTTAATCAGTTGACCAATTTATAATGCTAACACAAAGTTCCGCTGCTTACATCTATCATTATTCAATCAATATTTCGTACATAACACCACGGAAGAAAGGTATTCAGCTTCTACATAACTTTTATATCTTCATTTTTCGCAAAATTCCATATCATCTCCGCTGTTTTATTGACTCTTACAGTCCGTAAATCACCCCTTTATTGAACAGACATCAAATTCTATACCGGTATGAAGTAAAAATTCTTATTTTCTATCTTATGCCAAATGTGACTTTACCTTTTGTTCCTATCAGATAAGGAAATTTCGACATTTTTCTATATATCAGACTAGTTTTATACAATAAAATGTGTTTTATTCTAGAAAAATTTCATGTTTTACTTCGTCTTTCGACCGGTCATGATTACTTCTACCAAATTATGTTATTTTTTTTTCTTCGAATTTTTATTTCAAGATGAGTGTGAGTGTGTTTACCAGTACCGCACAGAGGATCTAATAAGTGAAGAAAGAAAAATGTATAAATAAAACATTGTTATAGACTATAATTTCATTATAAATACAGTATACTGAAAGTTAATTTAATATACTCTTAACAAGCGAAACCATTATTATAGTAAAAAGCGGGTTGTTTATATTGATCGTACACGTCTTTTTTTGTACAAAATTTATGTATTTTTTACTTCATTAAACGTAAAAATATTTAATAGAATATCGTCAAATAAATTTAANGCATAATTGAATAATACAACCTTTTATAAATTAAATATAACCTAATATTTCTAAATTACAATTAAAATTAAAGCTTGTAATACGTTAAATTATATTTACGCGTGTATTTTTAGTAAAAATTTATGCAAAATTCTTCGATCATTTAATACAGCAAACAATGTTTTTTTAGACGTAATACAGAAAAATCAAAAATGAAATCGGATAAAAATAACTTCAGCTCCATTTATTAATGTCTCTCATAATAATTTTAACCAATTGAAAACATTATCTCGATGACATTTACAAGAACAAAGAACCGCCTACGGTATATCTAGTATAGTGCTTGTAGTAATGGCGTAATAAAGGCAATGGCTCAGTTTTCAATGGAAGCTGTTTTAATGTAACATCACGGAACAATGTTTAGAAAGACGGAAAGAAAGGGGGGTTAGAAAGAAAAAATAAAAAAAAAAAAAAGGTTATTTGTGTCATTTCTTTCTTATTCCTATAATGGCAAGGCTGATCGATCGATACAATTCAAAAACCGAATCCAATAGCAGTGTATTGACCACTTAGAAATCTTTGCACGAAAATTTTTCTACTTTACAAATTTCCATCCGGACATTCCACAGCAAAACATTTAGTTTCTGTGCCCTTTTCCTCCCTCTTTTCTAGTCTGATGTGTTTGTTTGTTCTTTTTAAATGCAGAAAATGTACTTATAAATAACTCTTATCTTCTTTTTCCAGGTGTGTTTTTCAATGTTTTTGAATGTATTGTACTTCAATTTTTCTCTCTTTCCTTTATATTATAGTTTTGTGTAATAAAAAAAAAGAAGTAAGAAGAATAAGAACTAGGAATAAATGGGATCTGTTGCCTACTGAATTATGCCAAGAATTTTTTGTACAAAATTTATGTATTTTTTACTTCATTAAACGTAAAAATATTTAATAGAATATCGTCAAATAAATTTAACGTAATTTTAATAAGTTAAAAAATAAATAAATTTATATTTTCGAGATCCTTTTATTGATTTTTTCTAACTCTTCGACCGGAATCACTTATGGACACTAAAAGTGCCTTTTTAATGCTCATTGTAGATTCGGCCAAGCCCACAGTTGGGCGAATGACATGCCACGAGTACCCAGATAGCCGGGACAGACCATCCTCAGTTAAATTCTCGAGGGTTTTCGACAATAGAGGTTCGATTCCGGGTCTCCCAGAGCAGTAGGTTTATGCCTTGACTGCCATGCCGTTCTGGCTGTTGATCTATTTTTGGATCCTAAACGTTTTTAACAGGTTACGGATATTCAGTCTTATTTCCTTAATATCCCACTTTTTAATTAAATTTAAAAAATAATATTAAAATATGCCTCTATATAACGTGTACTAACTTTATAGTACTCGAAGAACGTTCAGTTGAACGTTCATAATGTGTACAAAACACTATGGAGTAACGACTTAAAATCCGTTTTCCTTTGTTGCTTCAAGCTTCTTTATTTTTAATTAATTCTTTATATAATATATGGTAACTCTATATTGAGTCAGAAATATTCAAAAGTTCCTCTATATAGATTTAAACATATCAAATGTATTTTAATTGTTTACTCCGTAATACACGTTAAATAAATTAGTCACATGCCAAATAAATGACATTAATGAATTAAATTTAAATTTAACTAATAAATAAATCAGATGAGTTAGTATTAAGCAGAAGTTAAACAAGATAAGGCTATTATAAATGCGAGGAAGTGAAAGAGAAACAAGCATTCAACAGAAGGATTCGAGCCTATCAGTGGCTAAGTAGATTAAACCACTGAACACTGGTTGTGGGTTCGTGCCTTACCACACGACTAACACGTAAACAGTGACATATTTTCCCATAGAAAAGTCTCCTGGAGTCATCTCCCTTAACAAATCATTCTAGTGTTGAGTTAACTAATTTCATCAATCCAATTAATCCTCGTAGATTCGATTTCCATTTTTATTTTTCAACCCATTCAAAAATTTATAAAAATTTCCTTTATAATAAATTATATAGGTAGATTCTATATAAAATAAAAACTATAACATGTCTATTTAAAGTATTATACATACAAAAATAGAAATACGTAAACACAGAATATGCTACTGTTTTGTTTTATTTGTTTACGGCAATGGAATATATAAGCGAGCTACCGAGTGAAAGTATTCCCTTGAATACTGGCCATATTTAGGTATTATAACACGAGAAAAAACCCGAAAAACACGTGGCCAACCCGTTGGGAAGCGCGAAACCACGACCAACTACCCAAATTTTACTGGTTTTATCCATTCAGCAACTGGTTGACTCTAGAATAATTTATAAAATAATCAAACTATGCATAATTGAATAATACAACCTTTTATAAATTAAATATAACCTAATATTTCTAAATTACAATTAAAATTAAAGCTTGTAATACGTTAAATTATATTTACGCGTGTATTTTTAGTAAAAATTTATGCAAAATTCTTCGATCATTTAATACAGCAAACAATGTTTTTTTAGACGTAATACAGAAAAATCAAAAATGAAATCGGATAAAAATAACTTCAGCTCCATTTATTAATGTCTCTCATAATAATTTTAACCAATTGAAAACATTATCTCGATGACATTTACAAGAACAAAGAACCGCCTACGGTATATCTAGTATAGTGCTTGTAGTAATGGCGTAATAAAGGCAATGGCTCAGTTTTCAATGGCAGCTGTTTTAATGTAACATCACGGAACAATGTTTAGAAAGACGGAAAGAAAGGGGGGTTAGAAAGAAAAAATAAAAAAAAAAAAAAGGTTATTTGTGTCATTTCTTTCTTATTCCTATAATGGCAAGGCTGATCGATCGATACAATTCAAAAACCGAATCCAATAGCAGTGTATTGACCACTTAGAAATCTTTGCACGAAAATTTTTCTACTTTACAAATTTCCATCCGGACATTCCACAGCAAAGCATTTAGTTTCTGTGCCCTTTTCCTCCCTCTTTTCTAGTCTGATGTGTTTGTTTGTTCTTTTTAAATGCAGAAAATGTACTTATAAATAACTCTTATCTTCTTTTTCCAGGTGTGTTTTTCAATGTTTTTGAATGTATTGTACTTCAATTTTTCTCTCTTTCCTTTATATTATAGTTTTGTGTAATAAAAAAAAAGAAGTAAGAAGAATAAGAACTAGGAATAAATGGGATCTGTTGCCTACTGAATTATGCCAAGAAAAATCTTGGCTATCAAGATTAAATATGGTATAAAAAAAGGTAAGAAATGTTATATTTACTTAAAAATATACAGAAAATTTAAGAAAATCCAATCATTTTTGCTTTAAATAACGTTTATCTTCGGTTTCAAATTCAAAAACTTTAAATGCGACTTTATTTTTACGTCATTTCACTTAAATTTTTGTAATAAGAATCTTATTGGTTGCTCTCGTGACGTAGATTTGAATGATATTTTGTAACTCGCACATCATTGGTTAAAAATGATTTTTAAAAAAATTACATCAAAATCTAATTATATTATTGTTTTAAATTATAATATTTAAATATAAAACACGAAAAAGAGTTTAAAGTTAAAATAATTCTAAATATGACGCTTTTTACGTCAATTTATTTACGATTCCGATACGCGAATTTTATTGGTTGTTTCCGTGACGTCAATTATTCAAATTTTTTTTTTGTAATTCGTATAGCATTGGTTAAAAATACTCCATTATTAATTTAAATTTTCAAAATATATTCGAAAAGTTTGTTATATTAATTTTTAAATTATTAAATTTAAATTTATAAAATTTAATAAGTTCAACCGGCAACACTTATTTTAAATTTAAAATTTTAAAAATTCAAATTCAAATCGTTTCAAAATTTGATTTAACCGAAACGAACTTACATCATTTTCGTATCCGAAATAAGAAAACAATTTCTAAATTCAATTTAAAAACACGCCATTTTATAATTAAGAAAACATATTTTTTATTTTTATTAATTTTTATAATTTAAT